TCACCCTTTAAACAGCTTCGCAGATAGTGAAGCTTTTGTACATTTGATAATGCCGCGTCACAGTCAACCAGCGAGGAAAAAGCGTCAAAGAAACCAATCCATTCTGTGGAGTCGCCCGAGAATGTAGGCAGCTCCATTTTAGGGAGCCGTATGCCTGCCGACACTGTTGTTGGCGGGGACGGATGCTGTGATTCTGCCCGACACTTCTGTACGCGATTGAAATTAGCTAAAGCCGTAGAAAACCACGCCTCGGCTTGTATACGCACATTTTCTTCAACTTCACTATTGTCACTTCCACACGAAACCTCGACCGCATCTTGAGCACTGTTGAATCGAGCCCACTGTTCGCTAAGCAGTTGCATATAACTTTTCACACTTTCTGCATCCATTGTGAATGCCTCGTCAGTGCTCTTAACCATATAGCGTTTGATTGCATTGAGAGCTGAACCGCGAGTTTTAACGGAGTTCGACATTTTCCACTTTGCCTTTCCCGATCGTTCGTAGGACACAGTTCCGATATACGGCGCTTACAAAGGTCAATTGAAGGACGTAATAAGTCTCGAAATTTCGTTAAGTCAAATGAAGGACGACTGTATCAATGCCACAGACGAATGTATGGTATCTTGTAAATTTTGGTTTTTACAGGATATGTATTGTTTGCTTAATTGTGGATTGCACTTTCTTTTTTAAATTACTAGAATTTTCTAGCTTTCGCTTATGCGCGTTTGTATATATATGTGTTCGTATTACACAAATGTATGCGAGCGGGATTAGCAATCCGGCTCGAAGGACCAGCACTGGTGCGGCGGGTTCCCTTTAAAACGAAATGTCCAAATAAAACGCGGAGTATCTCGGAATTCAGTTCCTTTTATTTAATTGACTTAAACTAATGTAGCTAAATATTCAGGCGCGGGTTTTTACTAATATAAAAATGCGGGTAATACTAGCGAAAAGTTACTGAGCGGCGGCGAACGTGCAAGCGGGAGAATACCAAAACGAAAACTAAAACTTAAGCGAGAGATTAATAAGATCTTATAAGCTAGTTATAGTTCAGTGTTACGAACA